TCTTTATTCTTTTGAACATCTGGTATTCTATGAATCTTTGAAGCTTCCTCTATTGTCATGTAGTTAAATTCTGCAAAATTAATAACCGGTAGCGTTAATTCATCATCAAGATTTTGGGAGAAAGATATATTAAATTGGCCGCTTGTAAAAAGCATCAGCCGGCTATTGAGTTTTGTAAAATTAATAAAATTATGTTATAATTATTTTCCATCTTTAGTTAAGTATTATACATGTATTCTATGCAATATTAGAATACCAATAAAATAATCTGAGCGCCTTAAATTTTTCCCAGTGAATGATATCCATGTTTTTGTAAAAGATTAAAATAAACACCACAATCAATTTCTCGAAAGCAACTTTCCTGGAAGGACATAAAACTCGGCAAAATTAGCCTTTTTGGAAAATGGGTTTCGTACAGTACGTACGTACAGTGATATATTCTATAAAGAATTGTGACTATATCAAGATTGTGACTATATTGGATGTGACTGGAGATGAGCACTGTGCAGCATGGTGCTTAATCGTCACATATTATAATTTATGTAAAAATTAAGCAAAGTGCCCATCTCTAGATGTGACTGACAACTATCGTTATGTCAAAAATATTTGATATGAAGCTGACAGTAACCAATAAAATTCAATTTGGTCATAATCTGACGGATTGATTACATAAATATCTAATCGCTTTTTTAACGTTAATGACTCAAGTTCGTTTACATAATTTCGAGTAACTTTCTATTCTATTATATGATTTAAAATTTAATAAATTTATGAATACTAATAAAGTTTATTTTTTAAAACAAAAAATTATCCAAAGCATTAAACGATGGTTGTTAGAATTCGTCTGGCATGTCATGGTATAAGAAATCGACCATTTTATCATATAGTTGTAGCAAATTCAAAATCACCTAGAGATGGTAAACATATTGAAAAAGTTGGTGTTTATGATCCAATTCCTGGACCTGATGGCGTTAAGAATATCGAATGGAATGTTGATAGAATTAAATATTGGATATCTTGTGGAGCTCAACCTAGTGACACTGTAGCAAAACTTTTATCGAGGGTGAACCATACTTTTTTTGAAAATGAATTATATTTATTGATTCATTAAATCTATTATTCTTATTAACTAATTTACTCATTTATTCAGGCTGGTGTTTTGCCGCCTCTACAAAAGGCATGGAATAAGACTGTCAAATCTAATGATCCTGATTGATAACTAAAAAAACTGCCGTTTATTGTTAATTTTTGATAAAATTGGTTAACTGATTGGTTTGTTATATCACTTTCCTTTTTTACAATCTGTAATTATGTCGTTTAAGATAAAAATAAAAATAAAAAAAAAAAAACCACAAATGTATCAAAAGCCTCATTAAACAATAACATGCTTGAATCTCATTTTTTGGCACCAATCAATAAGCTAGATTAAACAAGAAATTAAGGCAAGTGAATCGTGTGTACATTATACGTTTTTCGGAAAGATTAGCAATTATTAATACGATTACCACACGAAGATGGTACGGTAAATTTGTAAATACTTAAGGATAGGACTTATTAGTTAGAGAAAATGTAAAAGCACTGTACCTATACACTTCAATTACTCGTTTTCTTGATATTCTGTACGGGTTTAAATTTAGGTATTCGACTGGAACTTTTACCAGAGTTCTGCAGCATGTTTTGGATTCTTGTTTCTTTGATGGAATAGAATTTATGATTTAATCTTTAGAATCAACGCAATAGCTACCTCAGTAGCTA